GTCAACAACAAGTCATTCCTGCACCACTGTATTAAAACAACAGACCCCCCCCCCCCCCTGCTCACCTGAGACTGCTGGAAGAGCACGGCTCTCTCCGGGTCGATGCCGCAGGCCAGCAGACTGGCGGCCATGTCCAGGATGTTGCTGCGCAGCTGAGCCGGGTCCTGAAGCTGAGTGATGGAGTGCAGATCCACGATGCTGTACAGCACGGAGGGGAACTGGCTCTGCAGGGACACCCAGTTCTCCAGAGCCCCCAGGTAGTTCCCCAGGTGGGGCACCCCGGTGGGCTGGATCCCCGAGAACACACGGCCCCTTCCTGCAGGCTCCTGGAGAAGAAGGGGAAGATCTTTATTTGCACTTTGTTAGTTAAAGATATTTTTATAGAACTAACTGAAACAACAGGATGAGTGATGTATAACTATTGCAGACAATGTACATTAGACATAATAAAACCATCATAGCAGGGACATTATTAAACTGCTTCCATGTCTGTTGTTTGGAAATTAAGTAAAAAGGATACTTAATAAAAACTGTCCCTGGATGTAGAAATGCAATCTCTTTACACTTTAGTATGATGCCATATCTTTGTAGGAATGTAGCGATCGCAAGGGACTCCTTGACGTAAAATCAATGGGAGTCTTTGCATTGGCTTTCAACATTTTGCAGAAGATTTGATCTGAAGCAAACTCACTCTTATGACACTTTACACGTTTTGTTGAGCAGTATAATCTCCACATTCAAAGTCATTGAAGCGTAAATGAAACGGAGGTAAAAAGCTAGCGTATGGCTATGAAGAACTACATGACGTCGCATTTCCTCCTTATTTCAGGCATTTAACAACGATGAAAAAAACATTGACTTTGAGAAGACGTAACACAGAAGTGCTAAATGCTGTACAACATCTGAGTGCTTCTTCAGGCCAAGAGAGAACACACGATAAGGGACAGAAAAAAAAAGAGGCTGAAAAATGGTGAGGAGGAGAGAAAGGGTGAGAACGCCTGCGGACACTGGAGTGTTAGTGTTAAACTTTTGGCAGGTTGCAGGCCAGCAGCGGTCATGCTTGAGTTACAGAGATGCTAACTCCATGGCTAGCACCTCTGTTCTCCCCCAAACACATCCAGCACGAAGAATGCATCACCTCGCAGGCCAACAATAACAATGAACCTCCGTCCAGCCAACTTCAAGGCCTCTGTGACCACAACGGGGAGGACAGTGGAAGATGAGAGGGGAGGCAGAAGAACCACTGAAATAATATAAAAGACAAAAAAACCCATAATGACCTTATTACAGAGCTGGAGCTAAAATGGCAGGAGGAAGATCACTCGTTGTGTTTGTATCGTTGGGCAAACATTGTGTTTCTCTTTCGTGTTTCGCCAGACCGCCGAATTTCTCCGGGCATCGACCCACTCCGCTGAACCTTGGCTTTCAATTGGCCCAGCTGGAAGAAAGTCTTAACCACAGCTTGTGGCACAAAGCTCCACAAGATACAATTAGAGGGCAAGCAGAGCGGCACTTGTCATGAGACGTGAAACCCACTGACATCTCAAGTCTGGGGCTTCCTTATCAAGGCAAGGCAAGGCAAGGCAAGGCAAGGCAAGGCAAGGCAAGGCAAGGCAAGGCAAGGCAAGGCAAGGCAAGGCAAGGCAAGGCAAGGCAAGGCAAGGCAAGGCAAGGCAAGGCAAGGCAAGTTTATTTATATAGCACTTTTCAACACAAGGTAATTCAAAGGGCTTTACAAAAAATGAAAGACATTAAGAAAATGGCATTTAAAATCAGTCATTAAAAAGAAAAGATAATAAAATAAACATTAAAATAAAAAATACATGGATAAAAGTTACAGTGCAGTCTAAGATGTGAATAGTTCAATTAAAAGCAGCGGCAAAAAGAAAAGTCTTTAGTCTGTTACCAGAGCCGTTACACAGTAGATTAGGACTCTGACAGAGCGGAAACACACAGAGACAGAGGCTTGGTGTTTGTGTTAAGCGGTTAGAAAGACAAAGTGTTTGAGGCCTGGGTGACGCACACTTCCCTGCCCACCGTGGTGTTCAGTTCCCGGCAGAGGTGCGGTGCTAAGGCTTGGCCGGTTGCTCCGACTCTCAGCTGTGAAGGTGGTGAGGGATCAGGGTGTTGGAAGGTGGAGTATTTAGGATAGATAATATGAACCCACACGTATAACATATTAGGTTTAAAAAAATACTGGTTTACTGAGCGGCCACAATGATTTAAAAAAACAAAAAGGGGGCTGGGCGGTAGGTTTGTCCCTTCAGGTAGTGTTGAAGATAAAAGTCTTGTTAAGCACAATATGTTCCCGAGTTCAACCTTATATAACATCATTAGATGCATGATTTGATGTTTCTAAGATTATACAACTATTTTTAAACAGTATTTGCATTAAACGCCTCCATTGGACTCCTTTGTTTACATACGTAACATAGTGACATCACTATGTAACACTACCACTAGGCTGGTGCTCCAACACATTGTACCTAAGAGGCTAAGGGGCGGGACATCTCTAAGTGGTTGACCAATCAAAACAGAGCCAGCCAGCTAACCAATCAGAGCAGACTGGGCTCTGGTTTCAGACAGAGGGTGAAAAGAGGCAGTATGAAAAAAATAGAGTTTTTTAAACATTATAGCATGGAGACATGTCCCAGTGGAGACACTACATACAAAAAGCTTTGAATAGGGCCCCTTTAACTTCTTCAACACCCTACATGGAAAGTCAGTTGTTAACAAAAATATATTACAGTCAACTGCGGGGACATAAATGTTGGCTTTGATGGCAATCCAACACATTTGTAGAGACAACATCTTAGGTTTATATTGTAGTTATGGTTTAATCACCTTTAAAGATAATGACCCACAATCCTGATGAGTTTGTTTCAGTGTGACTTTAGTTTGAGATGAGCTGACGGGTTGTAAACAGCAGCAGCTGGACACAGGAGACGTTTTGAAACACTCCCCAAAAGACCCATGGGATCTCTGTTATCACCTCGAATCTGACTGCCGATCATATGTTCCCCGGCTGCACTCTTCAAGGTTATCACAACTAATCATTCAAACCTGAAGCTTTCAGAGGATATCCTCTTCAGTCGCTGCTGAGGAATCGGTTATCTTGACAGCTAGCTGAGCTACATCACATTCAATCTGACTGAGGGACAGGCTCAGCGCAGCCTGAGATCAGATAACAGCTGCTCTCTCACCAGCGTGGCCCACAGCTCCTCAATCTCTCAGCCTAAAGGGATCGAATAACAACTGTTCTGAGGCCAGCGTGGTCCACAAAGTCTCCATCTACTGGCCTGAGGGAGCCGGCCGCTGCTCGGCCAGAGAGAGGCAGGAAGGAACTGGGTGCTTATGTCATTACCGACAGGGTAATTGCACTGGAGTGCCATTGATGCTGAGAGCCTCTTAAGAGGTGTCAGGATAGATTTGGGTGTGGACGGGGCCCCGAGTCTGGCTCATGTGTGTTCTCACCTCGAGCTGACACGCCAAACGCATGTTCCCCCTCTGCTGCGGCCCCCGGGGGAAGCCATTAGCCATGCAGACATGGTAATGGTGTCATTTGAGCCAATCGAGTGTCAAATGAGAGTCAACGCCGCGGCTAACTAGCCACTGGGCAATGGAGCTATCACGCATAACACTACACTTCAGCAGACACCAGCCAGGGCTGCTGGTCAGAGGAGAGACTCTTTAAACATGGGCCTCTGCAATGTTTGGGAGTGAAAGTAGGTTATGTAAAGAAGTAAATCAAATACTGCATGATGACAGAGGATACAGCAAATGTTGCAAAGCAATTATTGTTAGTAAAGAATGCACAGTAAATATAGGAATAATAAGAGATGATCATCTAGTGTTCTTTTGCTATTGACCATATTAAATGTTGTTCTAAGAATGCAAATCAAATCTGATTACCGCTAAAATGTAAGTACAGATGAGGTCAGAAAACGTTCGTGGTACAAAATAAAATGTTGACTGGCTCTAAAAAAGTTATTGCATTTCATCCTTAGGAAGACATTGATGTCTGTAACAAATCTAATGGAAGTTTTACTCGAATCCACAAAAAGTTGGCACTCTGGTGGCATCAAAGGAAAAGGCAGGGGATGACCAAAGTCATTTGATGAATCAACTGAAACATGAATACCTGTACCAAATGTGATTGGAAATGCAGTTCAAAGCAAGATATTTAACTCTAATCCAAATATGGCAACCTCTTTGGCACCAGAGGAAAGATGTCAGGAGATGACCATGAAGTCATTAGTATTCATCATATGGGAAACATCAATGTGTGTACTATGTAATGACAAATTATCCAATAAAAAAGATATATTGATCTGGACCAAAGAAGTAGACCAATCAGAGCATAGAACGATATTGTCAAGGAAAGCGTAACTTGAAAATGTCAATTATAACCTGAATTATGTCTGCTGATCTTTACAGCAGGCAGGACTCCATTCTCAGCAACAAGCTCAATGTAAACAAAATACTGTCCGTTTTGATTGGACATAATTACTATTATATAAGATATTAACCCTTCCCCTATCATCTCTTCACTCCCTCTCTCTGCTCGTAAATGACGCGTAGAGAAAGCGGGAAACACTGGTTGTTCTGTCTTAATATTTGTCTCTGACAGGCTGTACATCGAAGGTGAAGAAAGCTTTCTTCAACCACGTCTGCCATATGCTTAATGCATTACGCACCATGTGTGTGTGACATTAACGCCAACAGCTAGAAGGTTACGTACACTAAAAGGCCATGTTTTCACTTACCTTTCCGGGAATATGTGTGTAAATGTGTCTGTACTTGTACGTGTATGTGTGTGGTAACCTCCACAGGGAGAGAGGTCATGTGCAAACATATATGTACGTCGGCACGTGTCGTGGTCTTTGCCTACATCAACATCTTCAAGGTGTGAAAGTCGCTGTCCATATGACTTTGACAGTTCATTTCAAAGATGGTGGAAAGAAAAAGTCGATCACGAAGAGACCAGATCCTAACCGCATTATTAAACTGTTACACTACATTTGAGAACAAATACACTGTCTTTTTCTTTTGCCGTTAATACTGACTTTCCCACAATACCACTGAGAATCTAGCTCCAGGATTCAATGGAAACATTCATTTCTCTTTCACTTCTTTCACTTCATTATGGAAACTGAATGACAAATGTGGAGCACAGCATCCATGCGTAATAATGTATAACGATGACAAACCCCACTGGGACAAGATGCATAAAACACAGAATCCTACCGAGTCTTTTTGCCAGATTTACAAAGCCACGCATCGGGAGTGTGTCAACTCTTACATTTGACAGAGGTTTAACTAGGAA